TGTAAAATAATGACCAGTACCTGCTCACCAAATTCTTGGCACTAGTATTATAGGAAATGTAATCTGATATTTAGGAGAATTGATTATTAGATTTTGAGTTTAAAGAGGTTGAATGTAACATGTACTTAAAAGTTCAAAGCTCATTTGTTCTCTTTTACTTCAAGGAAGAGAGACAATCACTGCGTCAACTTTTAGTTGAAATTTTTGGTTGTTTGTGTGGCTTGAAGAAGGAAATTCTCTCCCAGCTCCTCTGTTCTGTCTTGCCTTCAGAACTGGCGATGGAGATTATGAAGAGGAAAGAAGGTAAAAAAAATTCAGGGCATCACAACTTTGACTGATATCCCAAGAAAGTTCATATTGTAGTGCCTGCACTTTAAAACTTTTTGACTCCTGAGAGAGGCTAGCATCTAATTTCTCCATACAATATCACCTCCTAATCAAACATTAAGGTCATGAGAATAAAGGAAATGATCAAATACTAGAGAAGCCCTTGATTGGTTAAGAAATTCTCCTTGTCAACACTTTAGGAAATGCAGAAAGAACAGTATGGAGAATGTGCATACTGATGTTAGGGTAGAAAGGGTTAAGACTCCACCCAAAAATATTTTTACCCAGAGAATGTTTGATGTACAGAGCAGATTAGATAAATTTTAAAAAAAGAGGATGGACATGCATGCACAGAAAGATAGATATTGATGCACTTGCAGATTGAAAGACCTTTAGACATTGGTATACTGACAGATTAACACAGGCAGACAGACGGGCACATATAATTTTGGTTTTATCAAATGAATTGATAATGTTAATTGGTCACAGTAAATAATTTTAAAGCTTCCCCACTGACTTTCTATCTGTTTGTGTATCTGTCTGTCTATCCGTCTGTCTTTCTATCTGTCTCTATGCCTGTGTGTCAGTGTGCCTGTCTGTCTGACTGACTTTCTGATCGTCTTTTTGGTTATCTGCTTACTATATATGTGCATATCTATGTATGTGCCTAAGGGGGTTAGTTTCTAAAGAAACTGTGATTCTGTGACAGTGGGGGAGTATAATGAGATAATTTTGTTTTATTAACTGAGTTGATAATGTAAATTATCATTGTAAAGTGTTTGAAAGTTGACGTTTCGAGTGTTAGCCCTTCGTTCGAGCAAAAGACTAATAGAACCCCCATTAGGCATGCGCAAGGGAAAGACCAATAGACGGACCAACTGACCGACTTACCATAAGGCAGGGAAGTAGTCAAACAAAGGATCAAACACGCGGTTCTAATGCTTTGCTTCATGATATTTGAGTGGTGAGAGGAGATAAATCAAAGAATACAGAATCTAGAGTTAGACATGCCATCAACAAGCTCGCCTCACCGGTTTGCTTAAAAGAAGTCGGTAACCAACTCATTTTTGATGTGGATCTTGCAGGTGCTTCAATGCAGCGTCACTGTGCAATATTAATGACAATGATTTTTTCAACTGGAGAATCTGTTCCATATACCGTTTATGGTGAGTCCTGTCCTCGCTTCCCTTATTTCATTGGTCGTGTAGTCAGATCATACTGCTGAATGTAACACTGCGGTCAAACGTCGGGCATGCGCGAGGGGGTCAGCTTTGGTCGGCCGATTCGGCACGCCAATTTTCCACGCAAATTTTTAAAGGGAACATAAGGTATAACCGCTGTTACGAAAATATGCAAAACAATTAGGAAACTTCATAGATATTTGAAAAGGACAGAAAATCAGTTAAATGGAAAACTCGAGCATTTTCGGAAATAAATCAAATTCAATTACAGGTGTCCTGTTAATTTACCATTCTTTTCTCAGCTTTATTAGTCCCACAGCCCGGTTATTAGGGTGGCTCGTGAGTCGATGTTCAGCCATGTGGTAGTTTTTTTTTATTATACTTCATCCGGGGCCGGTTATTTTCATTCATCCTTTTTACATTTTACTCGTTTGTCAGACTTTCTCTCTATTTGAGTTATGTTTAAAACAGTTTTTTTTCCTGTGATCATCAGACCAAGTAAATGATTCGTTTGTGGAGTTTTTGATTGATGCCATTGAAACATCTGAACATGAGGAAGAATTTATGGAGGCTTTTACACCTCTTATCCTGGCATTTAACCACCACTTTGTAGGTAAGGAAAGGCGGACCAATGTCAGTGTATATGCAACTGCGCACCTAACTCTCCCCTTACCCAACATTAACTCTAAGGGAGGGGTAGGTGTGTTGCTGCTCAGATACTGACATTGGTCCAGAAAGTCCATTTTAATACAGGCACTTGTTAGTGTGCAAAGGACGTGTGGATGCAGTGTTGAACCTGAGAATTTAAAATGAGGAAACAAGAACTTATTGTAAGATCACAAGCTCGTTTACACGGTTTTCATCAAGAAATGTAGCAGTGAGAGAATGGTGTCAAATCTTCACGTCAAAATGATAATTGCTCAAGCTTCGTTAGGGACTAGTCATATATATCGCCTGGTGGGGAGGGGTGAGTGGGAGGATGTTTGGTGGGTCACATGGTTTTTAAG